GGCTGAGTCATGTGTGCCCTCCAGGTCACAGGTCCCCAGTCTGCTGTCTGTAAACAGAGGCAAAGGTGGCAGCTCCCCAGCAGCTCATCTGAACCACTCTTTGTGCCAACTGAAGCAGCTCCTCTGCTTGACCCTTGCTCTGAGGTGCCCCTGCTTTGCACTCTGATTCTAATTTAGGAGGCTTCCTCTCTGCCTGGCTCCTGGGAGCCTTGCGCCTGGCATCAGCATCTAAACCCTGCATTTCTGATTCTGGAAGATTAACACCATAGCTCGAGGTCCCCAGCTTAGCTGTGCCAGCAGCTCTGATACCCAGGATCTGCCTCTGGCTCCCTGATTACAGCTCTGGGCAGTGTTGTTGTTGACCTTTCCAGATTCCATTCATCGCCCTTCCTCCTCTTGGTGATCAGCCTTGAGCCCTGAGTTCAGAAAGAGACTGTACTTATCCTGATACCTGTGGCTATGAGGCCCGGGCCTCTCAAAAAGCAAAGGGAACTACATTTGCTGAGTCACTTGTGGGATAGACTTTGATTCTCAAGGCAGTTCTAGGGAACATCACTGCCGCCATTCTACAGATAGACAAACTGAGGCTCTGACAGGTTCCATATGTCACCCGAGCCTCTGCTCACTTTTCTACCTCATTCAGCTCAGGATTAAAGAACAACTGAGTTCTGAGGGACTTGGGGGCACATTCCATAAAAAAAAGCAAGATGAACCCTCACCTTTCACAGAAGACCATGGAAGGAAAGACCTCAGCCCTGTTCCCTTAACTCCAGTTGAAGCCCTCACTCGAGGATTAGTCTCTCCTTGCCAGGATACCATAAGCTCTGGCTCTCAGAGAGGCAGGATGGACAAGTGCATAGGATCCTGCAGGTCTCAAGGCCCTAGCTTGTGGTCTTGGAGGGAGGGTCATCTTACCTTCTAACCCTTGAGGTCTGCATTATGGGAAAGGCAGGACTACATGACCTATGTGACCCTTAAGTTTAATCATTCCACATGGCACCCCAGATCCTTAATTCAAGAAGATGGTGATGAACATGATTACAACCAAGATGCTAAGGATATTAATAAATCAAAAAATGAACACTTATTGAAAGCCTGTTACACATAGACATTTTCCTTTGCATTTTATTTGGATCATGTGATTTCACCTTGCATCAATCCCATAAGAATCAGTATTGCTCCTTTTTTTATAGATGAGAAAACTGAGCCTCCTAGAAACACACAGCTAGACATTGGTGGAGCTGGGAATCATGCCCAAGCTCTCTGACTCTGTGACCTTAGTGACTATTCAAGGCCCTTGTCTACTGTGCTATCTAAAATACTTTGCCAGACCTACTCTCCTGAGCCCTGGTTTCAAAGAACAGGGCATGCTTTTCCAAGGAGAGGCAGACTGGGAGTTAGAAAGTTGGATTTCACATCCATGGCCCGAATCTGGATGTCCATGGCTCAGTTTCCATCCATACAATGGAAGAGAGAGAGAGAGAGAGAGAGAGAGAGAGAGAGAGAGCTTGTTTTAATCCAATGTAAGAGATTTTCAAAGACAGGAAATAAAACAAGTTTCCTGTAGAAAGATTGCCTAATGGGCAATTCCATACCCTGAGGATGTCCCCACCACTGACTCGGTTTCTCCCTCCAAGATGTCCAAGTGAGACGACAAGTGTAGCAAGATGTGTCCTTTTCTTCACTGACTCATCTACATTCTCTTATTCATCTTCACTCCATAATTCATCTACCCATTCATAAATTCCTTTCATCCTTTGAGGGAGTTAATTCATTCAGATATTCACCCATCTCCCCACCTACCCATTTATTTATCTACTCACTCATTTCTCCATTCACCCACTTATCTATCTTCCCTCCTATCCATTCATTGAGCCACTCGCCAATTTATTTCTCTACTTACTAATTTATTCATAAACTCCATTCATCTATCCTTTTATCCATCTTTCCATGCAACTACTTCTCCATCCACCAACCTACAGATTTACCATCCATCCACCCACCCATTTATCATTCCATCTAGCCATTTTTTCTCCTATTCATTCCTCCAACATGTTTTGACCACCTGCTACGTTCTAGGCCCTGTATTCTGTGCTGAAGATAAAGAGGTAAATAAATAAGTTCTGTCTTTGAAGAGATCAAACTGAAATGGACAAGACAGTGATACAAAAATAGGCAATTGCAATAGGATATGAGAAAGAAGGTAAATTAAGAAGCACAGAAGGATGTGGGATTTGTAAGGAGGATCTCTACGGAGATAAGAGTATGGAGGTCAGAGAAGCCTTCTCCAAAGAGCTGACATCTGGCCTGGCTTTCAACAGGTGTTTAGGAGTTAGCAAAGGGGAACAGGCAAAGTCAGTGCTAAGCAAAGAAACTGCATCCATAAAAGAAAAAAAAAATCACGAAAGAAAACAAAGCACCAGAGCAGCGGTTCTCAACCAGGGGTGATCCTTGTACTTCAGAAGAGAGTAATCAATGTCTAATAAACTTTTGGTTGTCACAGCTGAGAGGTAAAGGGAGACAGGTACTACCAGCATCGAGTGGGTAGAGGCCAGGAATCCTGCTAGACATCCTACAATACATAGGAGAGCCCCAACCCCAAGATAAATAATTAGCCAAACTAAAACTTCAATAGTGTCAAGGTCAAAAACTGAAAAACCTACTTTAGAAGGACAGCAAATGGTTCAGGTGTGAAGAAAGGAGAAAGCAAAGAGAAATCCTAGGGAGATAAACAGGAGCTAGATCAAAGATAGCAGGTGTTTATTGAACGTTTACACTGCAGGAAGTTTTAGCATGGGTGCTGGGGACCCAGAGATAAAACGGGATCCAATCACTGCCCTCCAACTTTGCAATCCTATTGGAGAAATGGCACACATCCATGAGGGAAGAGGAACCTCTAGGAATTGAGACCTTACTATGTACCAATCACTATACTAGAATCTTATATGATATGTCCTGGATTCCTTTTGATAATTCAATTAGGCAGGTTCCATTTTCCAGGTGTGAAAGCTGAATCTAAGAAATTTTTTTAATGGTTCTAACAATCATTAGGTCAAATCCAGTTGACCATCCGGGTTTTTTTTAATATTTATTTTTTAGTATTAGGTGGACACAATATCTTTATTTTTTATTTTCATGTGGTGTTGAGGATCAAACCCAGTTCCTCGCGCATGCCAGGCAGGTGCGCTACACTTGAGCCACATCCCCAGCCATCTGTTTGGTTTTTTTTTTAATAAATAAAATTTTATTGGAAAATAGAGGGGGAAAAAAACCTGCCTCTGTGTCACACAGTTAGTAGTGACACACCAGATCCATTTCCACCCAGCCTGACAACTCAAGGTGGCACACTCAGAGCAAATTAATAGTAGAGATCCTGATGGAGAGGGTGGTCCACAGAGTTCATGGGGAAAGCACAACTTGGCCTTGAATGAAGAAGAGGAATCAGATATGCAGGAAGGACAGGGAAGAGGGAAAATGGAGTTAATAAAGACACAGGTGAGCAAAGAATGTGGCAGGTTCTGGAAACCCTGGGAGGCTGCGGGACTAGAGGGTGGAAGAGGAAAAAGGTCCAATTGCAGCAAACTCCACGTGGGGCCCAGCAGGTTCAGGAAAGATGTATATAGCCAAGGGACAGAAAGGAGGTCAAGACATAAGCATTTGTAATATCCGAGGAATGAACAGAGAGGCGGAGGAGTTGAGAAGAGTTTGTTTTAAACCTGAGGTTTACCTCTATTCCTGGTCCTTCTGACTGTGGAAACTGCCTCTCCCTGTCCCCATCTATTTCCAAGAGGAAGGGTCAGCCAGAAGCCAAAGGAGAGCCTATTGTTGTGGCCTGCTTGGCCAGCCCTGAGGGACAGAGCTGCTGTCTTTGGAGGCCCATATTCACCTCTGTTAAGAGAGTTGCTGCCACTCCCTCCATTCCTTTGCACTAGCCACATGTTTTTCATGCACACGGTGCGTGCGCGCACACACACACACACACACACACGCACACACACACCCCAGACATGAGAATTTAATGTACACTGTTCATCAGATAAGGGAGACAGTTTATTGAAGAAAATGTTTGCTGGGGCTATTGCTCTGAGCAGCACCAGGGTGAGTGGCTCAAAGAGAATCAATTTCATCCAAGAAATCTGAAAAGAGACAGGAAGGGGAGGGGCTCACTTCAGCAGTAGCCAAAGAGACAAGGCAAGGGAGCCACAGCTCAGGCCAGGAAAAATCCTTCCAAATTGAATTTCTGGCCCTGGTGGAGACAAGCCAGGGCTGCTGGCCAGAGAGGCCTAACCTCTGTGGAAGAACCCTGGGTTCCTGGGTCTGAGAGTCACCTTTGGCCTCTAAGGAGGCACTTGAAAAGGAGAAAAGCATTCCAGGAGGATAGTGCTCCTCTGTAAACTACCCCACCACTGATATCTGAAGACCTCCTTTTCTCCTTCACCCTTAGCATCTTACTCCCTCCTGACTGGAAATGAGGAGTTCCAGAGACTCTACCTCCAGAACAAGGTCTTAGAGGTGGGACAATTCAGACAGAAAGGCAGGAGGCTGGAACAGGGGCATTACCTTCCACCTGTGAAGGCTCCAAGGAGGAGGCAGCTTCAGGCCAGGCTTCACTGCACTGGATCCAAAAGGAATCTTTAATCACTCCTCGGTGGGCTGCTCTGAATCCGGCAAAGCCCTCCCTTGGACATCACTTGGGGAGCACCTGAGTGGGTGATGCTTGGTTAACTGTGAGGTCATGATCAATACTATGTCTACAAAGGAGCATGCTGGGGAAGTGATGGCCAGATTGTGTATGCGTATACCCGCGTATGCTTGTGTGACTATGCACACTGCGTGTGCGTGCCTCTGAGTATGTGCGTGCAACCAGAGCATCATCGAGCCGAATTCTGCCCCGTCCACCGCCCTGATAGCCTCTCCAACTCTGAGCTGATGGATCACACACCTTCTGGCCTGGGGTAAGAAGGCCGCGAAGAAATCTTCCCTGGGACTCGGAGCTGCTTATGTCTCTGGCGGCTGTGACTGGAGAAGGCGAGCGGCAGCGGCCCCCGATAGCTAGCACCCAGGGCTTGGCTCGGGGCTGCGGCGGGCCAGCGCGGGCGGCGCTGCTGGGCCTCGCGCCGCTGGGCCTCGCGCTGCTGCTGGGCCTCGTGCTGTACCTGGTGCGTGCAGGACCGTTGGTAGCGTGGCTGGCCGTTGGGGCTACCGCGGTCTGGTGGCGACTGAGCCGCGAGTTCCGTGGCCCGCGAGCCGCGCCGTTGCCGTCATTCGTTCGCAGCCAGCGGAGGCAACGAACTCGGCTCGTCTCGCCTCTGGCCAACGCGGCAGCAAACGGAAAGCTCCTAGAGCCTCGGACTCTGTTCAAAGGACTCAAACCCGCCCAACTGCTCCTCATGGGCAGCTACCTGGATAAGTCCGGCCCTCCGCAGCCTGCCACCGCGCAGGAGGGCAGGGACCTGAAGGAGCGGCCTGTCCGCCGCCTGCCCACCCGCTCCTCGCCACCTACACCTGCGGCCCAGCGGGTCCCGCAGCGCGGTTACCCCTCTCTCCCGACCCCTTTCCACGGACCCCCCAGGAGGTCTATGCCTAGGGAGTGTGGGACTTTGGCCAATCCCTTTGTGATAGCTCCTCCAAGACGCTATCCGATTCAGCAGGCCCAGTATTCCATGCTAGGGGTACTGCCCACGGTGTGCTGGGATGGTTGTCAGAAGAAGGCTGTCCTTTCGGTTCGGAACTCCAAGATGGTGTGCAGCCCAGGGACTGTGAGGATTGCCCCTCCGGATAGCAGGTTAACTCGTCGTCTCCTACCAGGGCAGTTAATCAACTCAACCCTGCCCTCACCATCTGGCAATGTCCCAGACTCAGGTGCAAAGGAGAATGATCTCAGAGAGGGGAAGAAAAGGATCGCGGAGGAAGACCACCACTTACTCGATGATGGTCAGGAGAATAAGAGGAGACGCCAGTCTCCATCGGGGCCCCTGGTGGCCAATGGAGTCTCCACTTCTTCTGTGCCTAACTCTGGGTCTCTGAAAAGAGTTCTCCCTTCCCAGAGCTCAGGAGAACATTCGAGTAAGCGATCTTGTACCTCGCGGGTTAGCTCCCTGACAAGCACGTGCGGCGTCCGTTGTTCTGGCCGCAATGCCATCGCCAGTTCTTACAGTTCTACCCTAGGCATCTCTCGCCAGCAGCTGTGGAAGAGGAGTGGCTCCATTTCATCTCCCTTCTCTAGCCCAGCTTCCTCCCCAGAGAGGCCAGCCAAGAAAGCCAGAGAAGAGGAGCCACGTCAGCATTCCAGATCTTCGACGACTCCTCGGGTGGCCAACAAGGAGTCCCAGGGCCAGAGGGCTGTGGACACTCCCGCTCAGAAGCCGCCGAACTCGGGGGCTTCCCCGTCTACACCGGGCAGCTCCAGACAGCGCAAACGGAAGATTCCGCTGTTGCCCAGGCGACGGAACCAACTGACCTTGCCTTCACCACCTCAGCTTGGTTATCCCATCACGGCTGAGGACTTTGACCTGGAGAAAAAAGCTTCGCTCCAGTGGCTGAACAAGGTCTTAGAGGACAAGACAGATGTTCCTCGGAAGTTGGTCAGTGAGAAGCCACCCGACACTCAGCCTTCTTTCACCCTGCCTGCTGCGAGTACCACTTCCTCAGCAGCCTCCTGGCCAGCCGTAGGCACCAGCCTGAAGAAGACGCAGAGTGTCCCAGGGCCATCCCTCCCAGAACCTTCACCTCTGAAGACACCCAGTCTTCTGGACTCTCTTGGCTCTTTACCATCAGGGCCCCTGCCAGTAACCTCTTCAGACTCAAAACCCACAGCCACTTTTTTGGGACTGGTCCCTGCTTCCTCCACAGCACCAGTCGCTGACACCAAGACACCTCCAGCCCTTCAGGCTGACACATCTACCCCCTCCCCCATGCAAGGAGTGCTGTTTGGGGGCATGTCAAAGAGCGAGACATCTGACCCTTCCTCCCCAGGTGCCCTAGCCATGTCTTCTGCTTCTCCCACCGTCAAGCCTATTTTTGCAATGGCACCTAAAAGTGAGAGTGAAGGCCCCTTGCCATCCAGTCTAGCCAAACTCCCCACGATGACCAGCACTGCCACCTCAACTTTCAAGCCCATCTTTAGTGACCTAGGGCCACCTGTGGCTGTGCCCTTGTCTGCTCCCTTTTCCTTTAAGCCAACAACTGCTGTGACGGCTGCTGCAGCCCCAGCTGCCCCTCTGTTTGCTGGCCTGGCCACTGCCACCTCTGTCGTGGCTTCCACCACCACCACCACCACCAGTGTGTCCAAAGACTCTAGTTCCAAATCTGCTTTTGGCTTTGGGGTCAACAGTGTGGCCAGTACTGGGAGCAGCACAACTAGCAGCATGACTTCCGCCTCTCAGCTCTTCCCCTTTGGGGTGCCCTCTGCTTCTGTCACCAGCTCTGCCAGGGCCATGGGCTCTGAATTCCAGTTTGGCAGGGCCCCCATCATGCAGACATCCACAGCAGTGACCACCTTTGGCCAGTCTCTGCCTGGTGCTGTTCAGATGGCAACCACCACCACCAGCAGCAGCAGCAGCAGCAGCAGCATTGCTGGCTTCCGTGGCTTGGGTGGCTCCCTCACAACCTCAGCCCTGGCCGCCACCTGCCAGCCTACACTGACTTTCAGTAACACAACCACTCCTGCATTCAATATTCCCTTTGGCTTGAGTGCCAAGCACCCCGTTGCAGCATACCCAATAGTCATCCCCCAGCCCAAATTTGGGGCTGCCAATGGGCAGCAGCAGAGGTCCACCAAGCCAGCCCTAATCCCAAGCTTTGGCAGCCCTTTTCCTTTTGGGAACTCTGGGGCCCCTGCCCCATCTGTAGCACCAGTGCTAACACCAATGTCAGCGCCGGCATCAGCGCTGGCCCAGCCGGCCCAGCCGGCCTTTGGCAGCTCAGCGCAGACAGGTTTTGGCTTAAAAACCACAGCCTCAGCCTTCAGCGTCCCTGCCAGCACAAAGAAAGCCTTTGGTGTAGCCACCACCTCTGGCTTCAGAGCTACCACCCACACCACTAGCAGTGGGACCAGTAGCTCAGTGTTTGGCAGCTCAACTTCGTCCCCTCTCATGTTTGGGGGACCTGTAGCCCCAAGTGTTGGACTCAGTGTGGCTGCCCCAGACACCAACTCCACCTCTGGGGCATTCAATTTTGGACCTGGACAGAGTGGTACCACAGGCACCACCACCCCCTTTGTGGGGGTCTTAAGTCAGAATGCCCTGGGGATTCCCAGGGGGGGAACACCATTTGCCTTTAACGTGGCCAGCACATCTGAGAGCAAACCTGTGTATGGAAGCATCTCCACACCTACGTTTGGGCGAAGCACCCTAACCGCTGGAGTGGGCACAGCGGGCAACAGCCTTTCCTTTGGGGTGTCCTCTATACCCACCCAAGGCTTTGTTGGAGTCGGGTCCTTTGGATCAGCAGCGCCTTCATTTTCCATTGGTGCAGGACCCAAGACCCCAGGTGCTCGACCAAGACTGCAGGCCCGAAGGCAGCATACCCGTAAGAAATAGCTTCTGTCCCTGTCCCCATCTCCATACCCCTGTCCCCATCTTCATTCCCTTGTCCTCATCTTCATTCCCTTGTCTCCATCTCCATTCCCCTGTCCCCGCCTCCATTCCCCTTCCCCGTCTCCATTCCCCTGTCCCCACCCCATTCCCCTGTCCCCCTCCCCATTCCCCTGTCCCCCTCCCCATTCCCTTGTCCTAGCCCAAATCTGGACCTCAGCACCTACTAGGAAGAGCCTCTGACTCTTCAAGTTCCATAAAACAAAACCACCCTAGATCTCTAGCTTCAGCCACCAGGGTGGTGGTAGTAGCCCAGGGGCTCTTTCCTTTCTGGAGGAAGCAGGCACCTCAGGGAGGAAGCAGGCAGTGGCAGGGCCGAAGCCTGATACCTGTACTTGAACAGTTGCACTGATGTTGAGAGCCGGGATGGTGTCTGGCGTTTTGCCAGGGGGAGTGCTTGAGAGGTGGCACCAGGAAGCCATTAGGATGGTGATGGTTGAGCTCTCCCAGAGTTCCTGAAGAGTTTGTGTGCGTGGCGTTAGCGTGAATCTACAAGTGGCTCGTGACCTCCTGGTTATTTGTGCTCAGCCAGGCTGCAGGTGCAGCTGAAGAACTAAAGGAACATCTGTACATACTGTCGGCTCACTTCCCTCACTCATTTAGTATGTCACTTAGTCAGGTGGCCTCCCTTCCCACCTTTTCCCCCCAAAGGCCATCCTTGCCAGAGCGTGCAATGCACACAACTTGAATCTCTGTTGCATTTGGTGGGAGTGGATAAAATGAATAATTTTCATTCACAAGCGGGGAGGTCTTTTGGATCAGCAGCCCCTTCATTTTCCATTGATGGCGGGACCCAAGACCCCAGGTGCTCGGCCAAGACTGCAGGCCTGAAGGCAGCACACCCGTAAGAAATAGCTTCTGTCCCTGTCCCCGTCTCCACTTCACATTATTTATAAAATAAGAATTATATTTATATAACATGGGCAAAAGGGACTCCAGTCCCTCAAGAAAGCTGTCTGGGACAGCACTTGAGCCCTTTCTTTACACAGAGATCACCCAACTGTGCAGCTAATGCCTGATCACCGGCATTCATACTTACCACTTCAATGAACCAAGATGGAAGGAATTTAAAAGCTTAAATACAAAAATGAATTTTTACTTTGTTAAAATATTTTAGCACATGATTCTTCTAAAGAGGATGGGCATGGCAGCAGTTTTACTTGCTTGGCTGGGTTATAAGAAGTGGTTCTCTTCCTCTGGTCTTTTTGCCTGGGAGACCCCAGTGGGTGTTGCTTGGGCTGCCCCCTTTCGCCCTGCCAAGTCCGAGTCAAGTCTTATCTTCAGCCCTCTGCCAGTTTGGCCCCTAAAAACTTGGTGGCTCAAGGCTGTCAGGCTGGCAGAGCTGGGAGTGACAGAAGGTCCTGGAGAGGGCAGGATGCCTCCAACTGCCCTCAGCGGCCGTCTCCACCTGCTGGCCTCGCTGCCCATTGTCTGCCTCTCCTCTTTGGGAGGAGTATGAATTCCTATGCCTAAATTAAAAAAAAAATATTTAAACTTAAAATTTTAACAAAAATTCATTTTTTAATTTAAGCCAAATTGCCTTTTAAATTCCTCCAAGCTTGGTTCATTGAGGTGACTAAGTATGATTGCTGGTAACCAGGAACTAGCTGCATAGTTAGGTGATGCCTGTGTGGTGAAGAGGCTCAAGCGCTGTCCCCAGGCAGCTTTCCTGAGGGAGTGGAGCTCCTTCTGGCTGTGTTATATAATTCTTATAAATAATGTAATGGAGCTGTATCCTTTTGTGACTAAGGTTGAATATCTTGTGACAGGGGACTCCCACCCCAAGAACAGTGGGGCACCTGTGTTAGCCTGGCTCTGTGCCAGGCTGAAAAAATAACTGAGTCCCAAGTCCCAAATTCCTGTTAGGGTTGGAGGGGTAAGAGTGGGCCACATGTTTAAAAATGAAGCTTCTACCTATGCCTGATGTAAAGTGGATCCTCTTAAATTTATGGGCTAGTTCACCTCAGCTCTGCGGGCAGGCCACTCGGCCCAGGAACACCTTGGTGGGGAGGCGGGCTGGTACCACCTGGGCGTGGGTATGTATATATGTATATGTTTGTGCATTGGACAGAACAGGAGGCTGAGGTTTTTCCATTATAAATAAAAATTTAATTCCTGTTGAATCTAGTTGGACTTTTTAGTATGAATGTGACATTTTCCTTCTTGCTCATGTCATTAAGAATAAAATTTTTTTTTTTAAAAAAAAAGGACCTTGAAGGCCTGGAGTGAGGGGCAGGACTGTGGACCCTGCCCCTACATCCCGGCAAAGCTCGTTCAATCCAGACTCTGGGGAGATATGTACCAGGTTTCCCAACAGCATACACAGCAGTGGAACTTTCTGAACACCATGCCACTATGTGGTCTGAATGAGGTGTCCCTTTATCTTTCCTCCAGGATTGCCACTCTGTCAAGGACCTTTAGGTGTCATTACGGGTATTACATCCACTAGAACTGTCAGGTGCAGTGCTGCAAAGTGCCTGGAAAAGCACCTGGCACATAGTAGGCGTGCAAGATGTACTTGTTAAAGGAATAAACTTTTGCTTTATTTATGCCTCACACTCGCCCCAAAAGAAAGACAGCTCTGTCTTAGGAATTTGCCAGGGAAGAAGCTAAGGTATAGAAGCTCAGTAACTCACACCAAGTCACTGAGCTTGTGAGGGATGGAGCTGGGGCTAGTATCCATGTCCTTCTCACTCCAGAGCTCATCCCATCTTCATCCCAACATTATAGCATTTTAAACCATAAGAGGTATCATCTTAAACTTGGGGGTTGTAACAGATTACATAAGATACAATGTAAATCTGAACAGAATGAATTGCTGTGGCCAGGATCAGTCAAAGAGGCCTAGTGGGAACTAGAAGAGGGGAGAAAGAATGGACAGGGATTTCAAAGAGCCCCAATTCATTTTTTAATTTAAGCTAAATTGCCTTTTAAATTCCTCCAAGCTTGGTTCATTGAGGTGACTAAGTATGATTGCTGGTGACCAGGAACTAGCTGCATAGAAGAGAGGCCCTTCTCCAGTAGCCACAGCTATGCCTCATTAGGACACAAGGACATAAAACCCCTTAGGGCCAGGAACCCTCTTTCAATAAGACCTGGATCTGGTAGAACAGTGGCAATAGTACAGAAGCTGAGCCACTTTTGAATGAAGGAAGATTCCCCTTCCCCCTGGCTACTAGCCAAGGTAAGACTTGCCGGTGGCCATTCATGATCTGGGACCTTGATCCTGCCCCACCCCTCCACTGCCCAGACACTCCATGGCAAATCAGCCACTGCCATTCTGGGGCATATAGAAAGTTTAGACATCAGGAACAGGTTTCCTTGGGGTCTGATCCCCTTTGACCCCTAGCTGACCTGGGTGGGACCTGGTGCTACCACTCAGGCCAGTGCTTCTGAAATCCAGCCACCTCTATCTATGCCTTACATTCCCCTGCTTTTCAGCTCAGGCCTTTTGTCCCTCCTGGACATTCCTGTCAGTCCCTAAGAGCTCACGCTAGCCCCTCCAATGCTGAACCCCAAGCAAAATCCCTGGCCCTTCCCCCAGAGCAGAGCTACTCAAACCACTGCAGAGGGGTCAGGCTCTCCTGGCCATGGGGAGATCATTATTTTAGAATGTGCCCGCACCTTGAGGAAGTGTCAGGGCACAGAGCAGAGTGAAAATAACAAACCAACACCACCCGACAACGAACGCCACACAACAGGGACCTGACAAATGAAGAAAATAACTTAAAGGGGGAAAAAATGTTTAGTGCTCTGAATCTTGACAGGGCCACAAGAGGTGAGACTGAAGTCTCCAAAGGGCGAGTTCTCCAAATTAGGACACTGTCCCTGTGGTACTGTGCTTGGCCCTCTTCCCTGTGTCAGGGGTCACCAGGCTAAGGCGTGCCAGTTTATTCAGAGGGCAGATGCTGGAGGTTCCCTCTGGAGGGAGCGACACTTACAGGCCACGTGAAATGATCAGAAATAGGGTCACCAGCCCCAGGGTTAGAGGGGGAGAAGATGTCAAGGAGAAAAGCCCAATGGCACAGACAAAAGGGGAAGGTCAGAGCAAGAGAAGGGGTTGGACAGGGTTTAGAGAGGTTCCTGAGCCTAGGACAGCTGCTCCTACCCTTCTCGTATCATGAGGGGTTTTGAAAGGGATGTCGGTCTTCACTGCCCATCTTCTACTCCTCCTGTTCTAGTAACAGTTTCCACTTCCCCTCCCAAGACCACCTCCCCCATGCTCAGTCCATGGTTTAGGGTGGTGTCCCAGGGTATTGCATCCCCCACCATGTCAATAACTCATGGACTGGCTTGAGAGTAATGCCGGTGGAGAAAAAGAAACTTAGGGTCTGACCCCTTGGCAGAGGCAGGGCATAAGCTTCTTACTGGGTATAAGCTTCTTACTCCACCATGTGGAGACCCCCCCCCCAAAAAAAAGGGGCAAGATCAATGGACAAAAAATTATGGGATGAGAGAGAGTGAATGGCATTATTTGGACCCTTGGAGCCAGCTATACCTGACATTTCCGTTGCATAAGTTGGAAATTTTTATTTAGGTTTAAGCCACTCTGTGTTGATTTCTGTCACTTACAACCAGAAAGATTTTGATTCATCCAGATGTTCCAGGTCCATTAAAGAAGTCAAAACAGGATGTCATTCTGGCTGATGCCAACCAAGTTCAACCAAGGAAACAGAGAAGATTGTAGCTGGACAGAAGGTTTCCAGATTATTGCCAGAGCTGATGCCACAGGACATCCTGCAGGAAGCCAGAGGGACCAGTGACCAGGCAGTAAGGTGTCACTGCATCATGGCATGTTTTTGCCTCCTGGTGGCCAGAGAGACATACTTGATGGCAGTCCATACTATATATCAGGGATAGACACAAAGCTCAACATGCCTCCTCCCAACCATAGCCTTTCACGAGGGCCAGGGGTCCAGTCCCACGTGGTACAAGTGGCCTCTCCC